AGTGCCAATATGAGGTTAAAAAAGCGACAATCACTTCTTTTTATTTTTGACTACAACGATCATTTCTAATACAGTAGTACTTAAAAGAAATAAACTCTTTAGATTTGTAGTTTTCTGACTTCAGGTTTAGAAAATTGAAGTTCAAACAGTTGAAATACTATATATATATATATATATATATATATATATGTTTATGTTTGAAGTTTGAGCAAAAAGTGGGTTTCAATTAGATTCAGTAGGTTGGCCGAAAAAGAGAGACTCAATTAGAATTCTGAGATCTTGCAGTACAACATATAAGCAGCATTTAATTGAAACAACTATAAAATAAAGTACTAAAAACCGGACCGGCAATTGAACTGGTTAAGACAATGGGTCAAGGGTCAATGGTCAGACCAGGGTCAAGTCGGGGACCAAACTAGTAAGAAATAAAAAATAATTTAAATTTTCACAAAAAAACTAGATATCAATTTAACATCTTGAATCACTAATAAAATAATCATATATTTACAATTTCTTATAATATCACACTACTAAAATTACTAAATATTCATCCTAACAAAATATCAAAATGGATATATGATAATTAAATATTCCTCCCTATAGTTATTTAATCACAAAGTCCTAATTATCAACAAAAATTCATCAAATATTTTTTTTTAAAAAAAAGTAACCGAGTTAACCCACCAAACTGGATGGGTTACCAGGGTTATTATCGGTTTGTCCTGGATTGATCCACGTCATACTGGGTCGGTTCACTTCCGGTTTAAATGCTCAACCGGACCGGTGACTAGGCGGGTTTGCCAATTTTCAGTCTGAATCGACTGATTCAGTCTGGGTTTCAATACATGGTTGTAAAAATATTAACATATTAGTATTATATAAAATTTATAGAAAATGGTGGTATTTATAAATTATCAACAATATGACTTACCTCAGACTCTAAAATGAGACCCATATTCTCAAATATGACCATTGCAGTGTGATCACTAAATAACACTAACTAATTATGTTACCATTATCATTCTTAGGTCCCATTTGGTACGAAATATTAAAAATGAGGGATTGGGATTGGAATTGCAATTGAAAAAAATCATTAAAATAATATTTAGCATGAGTAATTGCTTATTATATAGGATTAGACAAATCCATAGAGGTGGGATTGGGGAATACCACTTCCTCCCATGGTATTCTTCAATATCACATACATGGGTTTGGCTAATCCCATATAACAAATAATCTCTTATACTAAACGCTCTTTTAATAGATTTTCTCAATTGCAATCCCAATCCCAATCCCTCATTTTCAATACTTCCTGCCAAACATAACCTTAATTCCTCCAATTTTAGTTTTCACAGCCACCACTCCACCCCAGCAATCATATGAAATGATAAGCATAAAAATTGTTCCATATATTTTCAGAACAAAACAACTGTAGTTTCTGAACTGAAACACATCTAGGCATTGCATCTATATATCTAGTTTGCCTGTTTAGGATGCTATACTTGCCTATTATGAAGTATTTGGTGTAAACGTAAAATGAAAACAAAAAATTGATTTAATAAATTATCATACTGAACAAATATTGTTGTCAAAGAAATCTCTTTATAGCTGCAAAACTTCACTTGTCTATATTGGTTACAGGGCCTTTAGACCAATGCCTACCAGAGAGTATCCAGTAAGAAACAACAAGAACCAGCAAGCATCCTACAGTAACCGGGGGGTGTGGTTGAGTGTCTCAATAGTTATTGGGTAAGAATTAGTTAACCGTTGCACTCTAGGTTCGTCTCTCATTTTCTATCGTTTAATTTCCATATTCTTTGGCATCATACTTTGACTATTTCAGGGGAACATAATTTCAAGTGGTCATGGCTGCTGAGATGAAGTAGTGGTTAAGAATTCAAATTCTTTCAATGATTTTTTAAAAAAAAAAGAGACAAAGTCTTAATAAAAAAATAATTTTTTGGGTGACATAATTTAAATATATTTTTATTTACCTTTAAAGTTTATCATATATAAATTCAAAATGCAAGAAAATTATTTTTAATCTTTTTTATGTTCTATTATTATTCTCTATTTTATAGATACTCCAATTTCTACATTTTAAATATTCATTATTAAGTTACTTCAAAAAATATAAAAATTAGATATATTTTGTAGCTTAAGTTGCTTTTTTTCGCCAACGATATTTAGCTTTTAAAAATTATATATTATGTGTTTTTGTTAATTACAATCTCTGGTCTCATTTATAAGTTTGCTTATGACTTTTTCTTATTGAAATCATGAAAAACTTTAAAATTCATTAACTCTATAAAAAAAATTCATTGTGCTTCCAATATTGCCCATATTAAATAAAGAAAAATACGTATAGTAAGTTTTTTATATTTGTTATGTCAGGTTTTTCAACTACACACGATCATATGTTTATTTTTTTTCATGTGGGTTTATATTTTAATGATAATATATTACAAATAAGATACATGATCAGTTATAATTGTATTGTCTCTTGTCCTTAAACATAAAAACTTGACATAATAAATATAATAAACCTAATTAAGTATTGTCCTTAAATATATATTCTCAAACAAAATTCCATACTTTCTAATATTAAAATTAAATAGGGATAAAGGAAAAAATTGCAATAAATAATTAATATAGCATCTTGCAAAAATGTTTCATACAATTCAGTGTTTTTGACTTCGTATAACTTTTATATATTAATTAATTAATTAATGATTGATTATTGATAACAAACATGTAAAGACCTTTTTCAAATGTTGTTGTCATTAAGTTTTCAATAATGTAACAAACCGCTTTATACTACACTAAACAATCTCATAATATGTGTATATTTTAAAATATTGAGTCAAATCTAATCCATAGCGAAAGTGGTTTTTTTTTTTTTCTCGTTTAACTTGAAAGGGTTTTGTTGTTTAGTGAGGGATGGTTGTTAAGTTAGGGAGACAATTCTTGATGTTATTTTCACAATACACATCTAATGTGCTTTCATATTATTGTTCAATTATACTTATCACCCTAATCTTATTTATGACTTAAAGCACCGGAGGTACTGTAAATAAGATTGGGGTGCCAGATGTTACTATAAAATAATATCAGGATACTGCCTGCAACACAAGTAAGATTGGGATAGTAGATGCATCTAGAAAATAAAATCATATGTTTTATACTATATTACCCTTTTGTTTTTTATAAATTCAAAATAAAAATAAATCAGTGGATGATTTTTTTAATGTTCTTCTTCTGTTTCCTTGCTACATATCTTCCAAATTTAAATAAAACTTCTGTTCAGGTTGATACATATTTGTGTTGTTTAATATCAACTTTGATTAAAATATAATTAATTTGGGAAAAAATGACAAAACAAAACAGTAATGTGAAATCGATTGAGTCCATTTATCAAATGTTTTAATATCTTAATCGGACTTACTTCTTCATAATTTTGAAAAAGGCAGTATTCACAAAACGTGGTGTTGTTTAGCAAAAAAAATGACGGGACAAATTAGTAGTTATATTCAGGGACCCTCTTGTGTAAAAGGTTTTTTGAAGTGTCCAAGGATATTTAAATTTCATATGATTAATATTTTCTATTATTCAGTATATTTAATAAAATTTATAATAAATGAAACCATTTATAAATTATGAACTTTGTCGTATTCTTAAGCTCAACATTTTTTCCATTATTCTAAATTTATACACATAAAAAATATCTAATTCTGGCATAAATTATGTGCTTCTATGAAATAACTTATTTGGTATTGTGATTCTCACGTAAATATACATTTTTATATAAAATAAAGTTTAGGGAAAATTAAATTCTGCGCAAAACAAAAAGAAATCAACGATAAGCTTAATTGTGGAGTTTTTAAATGTAGCGAATAAAAAGTGGAAAAAAAAATGTAAGGGTGAGGTTGAAAATAAAACTTCGGTGAGGAGAAAGGATCACCCAGCCTAAAAGTCATATACTATACCAACAAAGCCTTCTCATCATTTATGGTTTGTTCACGGGTTGGAAGAACAATGAAGAATCAATCATTTAAATTATTATTTTTCTTTCTTTCTTTCTTTTTTTTCCTGGGCCAGATATTTTCTTTCTTTCTTTGAATTGTTTTACTTCTAAAAAGTTTTAAACGGAACGAACTTCAAAATACAGAAAAAAAAAACTGGCATTAAAAAAAAAATACAAGCATGGTGAGGATTATATTTGCAGGTGAGAATGTAACTCATGTTTTACATGAATGTGGATACAAATTCTACTGATAAAAGAATTAAAAAGTTACTCTCTCTTGTTTACTCCCTTTGGTCCTGATTATAAGTTTTAAATAATTAATTTATGAATAACAAACAATTAGGTAAAATTAGTTAAAAACAATAAATAAGTTAAAAATATTCTTTTGTTTTCAAATATAACCTTGTAGTAAATGAGAAAAAGAATAAAGAAAATGTGTGGAAGAATACGATAAGGGAGCACGAAAAAGGAGATAGAATAAATAATTAAGAGTAAAATTAGAAATAATACATTATATATTAAGATAAATATTAAATTGAAGTTTATAAAATGAACTCATCTCTTCTTAAATTTAAAGTTTATAAATAGGAACGGAGAAAGTATATGCTGAGAGAGGTATATGATATATGAATCTACATTATAGTAAAGAAAATACCTTGACTTGCATAAAAGTATTTTTTTAAAAGATTATTTTTGAGTAAACCAAGCACTCGATCATCACAGTCAAAAACCAGTAAAAGAAAGACCTGTGATGTATAGAAAGTTGATAAGTTCATTGTTGAATCCCTCGAAAATAACTGCTTTTTCTAAATTTCTTCTTACCATTTGTACCGTTTCGTTTTGAATAATTTTGAACTTTCATTTGGTTTCCTTACGTGGAGTCAAAGGAGATGACGTGGCCAAGGCAACCAAAAAAAAAGAAAAAAGCTCATACCATATAATTCTAAAGAGGGCTTTCTTGTTCATTAGTTTGATAATGGAAGGTGGAAGAGTGTCACTGTTCAACTGTGTTCCTGGCCTTGATTTTACTGGTTCATAATGACACTTTGCGCCTTGGCTATCTATCTTCACTGCTCCGCCAACGTTCATTCACTGGTACCTGCAACTTAGCCTCTGTAATATGTTTACCTTCTTTTGACCCATGGACTTCAATCCCTAGATTGAAGTTGGAGCCTTTTTTTTTTTTTTTTTTAAAAAGCCTAATTAACTTAATTTGTGTATGTAAATGAGTTTGATTATCCATATATTTTCTTATCTATCCTAAAAGTATTTTATGATTGACAACAGCAAGTTGTCCTAGTGGTAACGCTACCCGTCATGTTTGGATGAAATTTCAATTTCAAGTCTAATATTGACATGTTTGTGTGCATGTATGTTTAATTGTATAAAATAAAAAAAAGTACTTCAAAATTTTCTTTATTGACATAGTTTGCGTGGTAGAGGCAATATGCTTTAGCCAAAATGTGGTTTCAAAGAGAGTAGAACTTCTCCTTTTTCCTGTCCCTTCCTTATTCTTTTATTATTACTGGATCAAAATCCTAACGATTCAGATTTGCTGCTGCTGTTGTTGTCATTGTTGTTGTGGTAAAATTTTATTTAAACAATTTTTTTACAATGGTAGATTATTACCAAAATATTTTATAAAGTAGATTTTTTTAAAAAAAAAAATTTCACTACAATTCTAAATTGTTCAAGTCACTTCAAACATATGATACTTACTCTCCACTTCCCCGCAAAGAAGGAGACCAAGTGAGAATTCAAAGACTGAAAAGAAAGTGAGGTAGAGAGGGAACGAAATAGATGATGGTTATATACTTAAAGAGTCTAATTGATTGGGTCATAATAAATTTGAATTTGGATCATTAAATTACATAGTTATATTCTCTATATCTGCCATCTCTGTCATTGATGAATAAAGAAATGAGAAACACCTATGTAAAACTGATGTATCAGTGATAGTTTCTGCATTAAAACACCAAAGATAGATTAATGTAAAAAGTAATTATAACTCGTTTCGTTATGTAGTTACTGCTACAAATCAAGCATCAGCAGCTATTGACTTGGTTTGCCAACAAGAAGGAAGGTTCAAACTTGTGATGGCTAAGGCTAACATGCCTGGCATGAACAGCATTTCTTTCCTCAATACACTACTTCTGAAGCATATCACTGTCATCTGTAAGTTCTCCAATTTTTTTCAAGTTCATTTGATTAATCTTACAGAGTATTAATCACTCCCAAAAAAAATCATTTCTTTCAATAACTACTTCACTAAAGCTTATTCTTTTATATGTTGTCAAGAGAATGGGAACGCAGTAAAGATCAAACTTTAGATTGCTTAGTCAAAGTTTTGATACTATCATCGTCTTAACACTTTCCACTTTAATGATGGTCAGTTATATCCTCTGGACAAGATGATGGCGGAGCCAAGGCGGCTTTTGATAAAGGATCATGTTATCTCCTACAGGAACCAATCCAATCTGTGGATCTCATATCTCTGTGGCAACAAGTTTATAACTCAAATAATAGGAACTCAGCACAAGAGAATCACGCTGCAAAATCCAAACAAAAGGTATATTTCACAAAGGAGTTTCAGCATATTTAGATTACATATACATTTATCTTGTTGGCGTATTAAACAGAATTTAACTTGCACAGTATTCATCTTCTAAGTATGAGATATGGCTCTTTTAATGCACTTCAGAGAGCAAAGTGAAGTGCAGGTATTTGACATGATAACTAGTCAATAGATGTCTGGAAATCAGTTTCATTAACTCTCTTATCAGAGGAACCGGATCCTTGAATATGACAATGTCTCTAGAACAGAAGGGAAGATTAAGTTGTTCCTGTTCAGAAAATCATGGGAAATTACAAACTATTAATGTTGACTGACCAATTACTGATAGGTGCTTGAATCAAGTGAAAATCAAGACAAAACACGCCATGATGTTAGAGTCAAGAAGAAAGGGAAGAGAGGATTTAACTCAAACCAGGTGAAATTAGACAACAATAATCATGCTGCAGAGAAGGAGGGAGAGGAAACAAGCGAACATAATAACAATCGATTCCCCTGGAAAAAGCCACGTATTTCTTGGACTTCGGATCTGCATCATAAATTTGTACAGGCCATAAGTGTTCTGGGAGAGAACAGTACTATTACTTTTAAATTCATTTTCTTTTTACATTGTTCAGTACTAATTGAGATCATTTATGAACTACCTGAATTTCGGTGTTTGGTTTCAATTTGCTTGCAGATATTCGTCCAAAATTGATACAAGAGATTATGAATGTTCCCTACCTGACATGTCGCCACATTGCTAGCCATCTACAGGTGCTTTTCTATCACACAAGTCTTTCTTAAATTTTGCACATATTAGTGTTTACAAATGCTAATACCAGGTGGTTGTTAATACGTGAATGTAAGTTAACTCACTCCATTCCTTTCACATTGATCCTTAAATCTCTCTTATTCCTGGTATGAAGCATTAGTAATCTCCTATCTTATGAATCTTCCTTCATTCTGTTTAATAAACGTAGTATCTAATCCACAATTATTGCCTTCATCAAGCTGCTGTTACTTTGTTTCCTCTATCCAATACTCTTCTTGTTGCATTACTTCTATATTTGAATATAAATTCCCTTGCTGCATTATTCTCCACATGCTTCCATCTTTACCTTTCTGTGTAATATCTCCATTGTACTTCGCTATATGCAGAAATTCAAATCTCAAGGAAGACATCTTCAGGATAAGTGCAACATTGATTTACTTCCAGGGTGTAAATCATCAAACTTCAGAGAGGGAAGCGAGTCATCCTCATCAAAAGAGAGCCAGAGTTACCCATGTGAGTTGGCATTTGAAGGATTCATATAAATAAAGACAGAAAAGTAATGCTAAATACTGAGACTCCAGCATAAAAACAGTTGAATATGACTATATTTTCAGCTTCTATCTGCACTTTCTGCGTAGACAGTGCATTTCTCATATGTACATCCTGTGAATTTTCCCAGGTAACCCCACATTAGCTGCTCCGCAAAATGAGAACCAGAGTGAAAACGCAGGCTGTGCAAACTTTTCATGTCAATATCAACCAGAATTGGTCAATTACGGAAACCAAGATCTAGAAGCTGTAGTGAGAGGAGCTGTACCAGATACTTTAATGGAGAAAAACCAGTATGATGACTTTGGAAATGGATTCACTGAAGATGATAGTGCCCAAAACTTTGAGACACAAACGAATCCTATCTTTGGAGACAGTTCTAGTTCACAGAAGTCTGATGGCAGCAAACCATGCTGCGCCGAGCCATCTGCTGTATTGGGAGAACTTGAGCCATGTGCTTCAATGAATCAAAGCCAAACCCTTACGGAAGATAAAAATATATTCAGAATTCTTGGTGGAGACAGTGAAGGATATGACTGTTTTAGAAGGGATCCAGATCATATTAGCCAAAACTCTGACATACTTAGTAGTTATATCCATGGACACGGAAACTCAGATAGCTGCAATCCTTGCTTTGCGAGTCTTTTGAAGGCTAATCCGTCTGCAGTTATGGGAGGACATGAATTCATTGATCAAAATAAAACCATGAGAGAACATGACCGTGTCTTGAGACTTGCTGGAGAAGGATATGATTATTTTGGTACGGGGACCATGTCCCCAAAACTCTCAGATGCTAAGAAATTCTGTCCTTGGTCATAACTTTGGCCTGCAGAAGTCTGGAAATTACAACCCTAGTTGTGTTAGACCTTTGAAGTCCAAGACTGAAGCTTTGAACAATCAAAATCAAGCTTCAACAGAATATAATAATATCTCTGGAAAGAGCTCTAGTTCTCCGCAGTCTGATTATTACGATACTGAAAATGTACGATCATTGAAAGCCAAACCATGTTCTGTAGTGGGAGGAACTATTTCAAATGCTTTGATGGATCATGACAAAACCCTGACTCAACATAATAATATCTTAAGATTTCTTGGGGATGATTCTGATGCATATGGCTGTTTTGGAAATGCACCCAGTTCAGATGATACTGCAATGCTGAAGTATGCTGTGTTCAGATGATTCCTTAGAAACTTAGTAACCGCAAGGGTGGCTGTGTAAGAGTTCTGAAAGCCAAGCCATGTTCGTTTGGTCTTTTATTGTTATTTGACACCTCCAAACCAATCATCATCATCATCATCACTATCCTATAAATGTTCTGGTTTCATGTGCACGTGGGTCTGTCAGGAGCTTCATGTCAGAACTGTACTTGGATGGATTCTGGAGTTTATGATGACCTTTGAAGCAAGTCGCGGTCTATAGCCACTCAAATATTGCTATAAATGAAAGAAGTTAGATTCGACTATCATAGAAAACTAGAGACTAGGATTTTCTTTTCTCTATTTTCTTCTCTTTTTTATTTTCCCCACTCTCAGTAACAGATAAATAAGTATCCAAGGTCTTTATGCCAACTGATCTTAGAGAACTTGGTTGAAGAAACTAGGTGGATACAGTGGTCGAAAGTCAAAGGTACACTTCACATAAAAGTCTGTATTGTGATGTGGAAACAAATACTCATGTACGCATTTCCGTCTGCAATATACACAGACGGTTCTTAATATAAGAGTTTATTTGACTTTTATTTTGGTTTTAAATATAAAACCCTAATATACTTTGTATCTCATATTTATTCATTTTTTTAAGATAACCCTCCTAATAATAGTAGTTCTAGCCAATACATTTTATTAGCAAGGATAATTTAAGAAAAACAACATCTATTTATTATAAATAACTAATGTAAATAATTTCTTAATCTACTCATATTAATTAACTAGCTTTTATATTAAATGAGAGGTAATATAATTTATTTGCATATTTATCTTTATACATATCCGAATAGTGCATCAGTGGCCCCCAACGCAATATGCATATCTCGTACGCATGAGATCAGCTAGACTCATTCCTTTATTGTCTAGCAAAAAGGAGAATCATTTCATTTGCTTTTCGTGCCAAGTATGACTTTTTTCTCCTAATTTTAAATCAGTTGGGTTTTGGGTTAGCAGCGGTTGTATCCAATTACCTTTGCACATGGTCAAGAATTTTAAGTAACTAAGATGTAATCCCATGTATGGCATGATGGAGGAGAAAACGAAGTATAAAAGCCGGCAAAATTAATCTAGTTGGTAAGGATTTGACCCGTCACATTGTGACATTTGACACATAGGTATTATGTTGTTGGGTTTAGAGCTAAGTGAAATACAGTTAATGAGTTAATGCTATTTTTGAATAGAGGGAAAAAATAGTCTACATAGAAGATTAGGATCCGGCCAAGGACAAGGCTTATTTATATTTGTATGTGGACAAATTTGGTGTCTTTATAGAAAAATGATGATTTTAATGTGCTTGGGGCTGTGGGCTCTTTAGAGATTAACGAATGAAATAACAATAAAGGGATTAATGATTAGTCATGAATTTATTCTTTGAACTCATGTTTTATAAATTTATGTCATGACTCAACATTTTCGCTTGTGAACCTAAAAAATTGGATCATAATGAATCTGTGATTAAATTAAATGATTATAATTTATATTTGGCATAAAAAATTGAATGCAACTTGCACAGCCATGACATTCTAAAAATGGGAATTGACTCCTCTAATGCATTTGAAGAGCAAAGTTCTAAACGTTGCTTACATTGATGAGGAAAAGAAAGTCATGTGTTAATAAATTCAATTAACACGATATTTAAGGATTAAGATCTCTTAAATTGAACTGGTTAAGCTAGTATAACTTTCCTATTAGCTGAGCTATGTGCTTGTAGATACTTCATTCTTTCATTCTTTTTTTTTTTTCCTTTTTGAATTAAAGGGTAGGCACTAACGGCCTGAAGTTATAAATAGAATTAAATCCATAACTTTTCACTTAAAAGGGAGTTTTCATGCTACTAAAAGTTATGAACCCATTAACTACTTCTTCTTTTTTTCCTTATTATTTCATCTAAATTAACTTTAATACATGCGTGAAATCAGTTTGTTATTACCTTTCTCCGTTTCACAAATGCCAATATGAGGTTAAAGAAGCGACGATCATTTCTCTTTTTTTTTTTTTTTTTTTGGGGTACAATGATCATTTCTAATACAGTAGTACTTAAAAAGAAATAAACTCTTTACATTTGTAGTTTTCTGACTTCAGGTTTAGAAAATTGAAGTTCAAACGGTTGAAATAAAATTTATATGTTCATGTTTGTTTATGTTTGAAGTTTGATCACAGAGTGGGTTTCAAATAGATTCAATAAGTTGGCCAAAAACGAGAGATTCAGTTAGAATTCTGGGGTCTTGCAGTGCAACATAAAACCAGCATTTAATTGAAACAACTGTAAAAATATTAACATATTAGTATCATATAAAATTTATAGAAAATTGTAGTATTTATAAATTATCAACAACGAGACTTACCCCAGACTTTGAAATGAGACCCACATTCTCAAATATCACCACTGCACTGTGATCACTAAATGCCACTAACGAAAGACATTATGTTACCATCATCAGTCTAATTCCTGCAATTTTAGTTTCCACAGCCACCATTCCATCCCAGCATTCATATGAAATGATAAGCATACAAACTGTTCCATATATTTTCAGAATAAAAGCAGCTGTAATTTCTGATCTGAAATACAGATAGGCATTGCAGCTATATATCTATTTTGCCTGTTTAGAATGCTATACTTGCCTATTTTGAAGTATTTAGTGTAAACGTAAAATGAAAAAAAATGATTTAATAAATTATCACACTGAACAAATATTATTTTGAAAGAAATCTCTTTATATCCACAAAGCTTCACTTGTCTATATTGGTTATAGGGCCTTTAAACCAATGCCTACCGCAGAGTATCCAGTAAGAAACTACAAGAACCAGCAAGCATCCAACAGCAACTGGGGTGTAGTTGAGTGTCTCAATGGTTATTGGGTAAGAAACAGGCATGGAGAAGAGGACAGAGATGGTCACCACCCAAAGAACCGCGACCCAGCCAACGATGACCCCATATCGACCCAAGTTGAATGGCCCTGGGATGAAAGACTTCCGCGCCAAAGTTACCCTAAAGAAGATTGGAAGAGCATAGGCAATATAGAGGCCAATCGTCGCTATGGACACCATAGCATCAAATGCCACAATACTTCCAAGAGACTGCAATACAAGTAGAATGTAGTAAGAGAATAGTGCAATGAAAAGAAAAACGCTGATGCTGTAAAGAACTATAGAACAGATGGACCATCATGATCAGCCTTCCTATGGTTATTCCCTAAATTAGCATCTGTTTGTATTAGATGATATATTAACCTTTACATGTTACAGTAGAACAACGGACGTAATAAAATTTGTTTAAACAGATGTGAAAGCCATTTTAAGGGTTTTTTTTTATATACTTTTAAATTATGCAGACTGATGATAAAGTGATTTGGAATTTTCGTTTCCAAATTAAGGATTTTGTCACTTGAATGTTTGTATTTTCTCCATATTTCAATCCTCTCGGGCTTCAGGCAAAGGGTTGAGTTATAAAACACATTCTTCATCCCTTGTTGAACATCAACTTTTAGGTCGAAAGTTTCAATCATAAAATAAGAACATCCTAGCAGAGATTTAAAAGGAAAATTTTTATACCCTTTTCTTTGTCGCCAGTAACAAGACAGGTCCAGATAAAAGATGTAAACGGATTAATGTCATTAAGGGGGAAAAAAAATTTCACATACTCAGATGAAAACCAAATCATCATCATCGTTATCATCTTAATGAAATTTTTACATACCGGTAATGCCATGCAAAATGATATAAATGCAGATAGCCAAACAGCATTTATGGGGACCTCCTGCTTATTTACTTTATGCCATAATGATGAAAATGGCATGGCTCCATCTCTAGAGAAAGCATAAGCCATCCTGTTCAAACAGTGAGCATTGAAGTTAGAAGAGTGGTTAAATTCCTCACAAATGAAAATCAAAACTGGAAACTACTGTGTTACCTTGAGTTGCTAGTAACTGAACTCATACCACAGAAAAATATGGCAACAGCAACTACACCCAGGCAAATAATACCCCCAACTCCACTGCCATACCTTCTCTTGAATGCTAGATAAAATATTTCAGCAATGGCATACCCGCCAGCATCGTTTTTTTCACTCAAAAGGTAAGGGATATCAGTAACAGCAAAGGTAATGCCAAGTATATAACCCCATCCCACAATAATAGATATCCCAATAGCACTGATGATTCCTCTTGGTCCATTTCTATCAGCATTCTTGGTTTCCTCGGTCTAAGAGTAGGAGTTAAATAAAGAGGAGGTTTAGTCCAAATCATCTAGGAATTTTAATCCGTCAGAGGAAATGAAAAGCATAAAAGTTCAAAGGCGGGAAAAAAGAAAGTTCTGTAAACTCCTTAAACATAAATCACAGTTATTAACAAACGTCGTACAATTGCTTATACCATGAGAAGAATAGTATTGGCTCACCAATTTACATGTTATTACATCTAGACTGGGTCAAAACATAGGTCATAAAATGTTTGGCGATGCTTGTCTCTGTAATCTTGTAAAAAAGAGTTCAAATTGGGACACAATCGACGGGGAAGACCTAGATTTAAGATCCCAAGCTAGTGGAAGATGGGGAGAAAAAGCTACCCCAACTAAGCGTGCCGTTTAAATTTTCTTGTACAAATATCTTCTAATTGATGTTATTGAACTTGAACGAAATATTGAAAATATACCAAACTATTAACTTAGTTGAAATTCTAGTCAATATTGAATTTAGACATTAACGCACTCCCATCTAACCCTGAAATGGCAGGTGAGTCAGCCGGCTTCGTGAAGCTGTGCAAATTTCCCTGCCAGTTTTCATCTTGAAGCTGACTACAAGAACTCATTCACACTTAATAGTGCCATGATCTTTAGGGGATTCAATCCAAAGGGAGCAGTCTATGGTCTCAGAGAACAGATATTGAACGACTCGTAATTCTATAAAATAAAAATAGAAAAAGATTTACCATATGAGCAGATGCATCATATCCAGTCAGAGTGTACTGACTCATTAGAAGTCCCAGAAGAAATATGTATCCTCTGCTCTTGATTCCTTCTCCATTATCAGTATTGAAATGAGTGAAAACAAACTTGGCACTCGCTCTTTCGGTTGCAACAGATGGAATGAGAATCATAAGCAAGAAGACACCTAAAAATTGGTCATTCCATAATGAGTAAATAAAGGCATTTGCCAAATACTAAATGGGAAGACAAAAATAGAACAGGAAATTTGTTCGTCACACCTAAAAGATTCCAGATAGCAGCTAACTGCCCAAAGAATGATAATAATGAGATAGGAAGGCTGTTTATTATAGCATGAAGGAGCAAGATCCCGCCATGGAAACCAATAACTACATACTTGGATGCCTCATATCCGCCGCCATTTTTCCCTCCTGTACTAAGGAGAATGATAACCTGAATCAGTTGTGCCAGTGAATAATCTACACTTGTTGTCACAGCCCACTGAAAATAAAAAGAGATCAACAGTTAGAGCTTGAAATGTTACAAAAGGAAATCCACACCCCGCACAAGTTTGACCTCTCCAACAGTAGTGGAGGATGTTGGAAATCTAGTTTTGACATCTCAAGAATACCTGACCAACAATATTGAACCTGCAAGAAAATAAAAATCATTCAATGTCCATTGGAGAAATAATTGCGGGAAGGCAAAAATGGCGTTGTCTTTTATGAATGAACCTGAGTCTCTTATTAAGCAGTCAAATTCAATTTCAGGCTCAATGGCATCAAGAAATTTCCACAAAATTATATGATTTAAAATGTTTAAAACATTACACATAACCATCGTGCTGTAGGCTAACCACATAAGAAAATGTTGTATAAACGAGCCAGAGAAATATGAACTTGGTTTAAGTTCTAAGCAAAGTCTAAGTATCGTGCTGTAGGCTAGCTCAGTTTCAGTAACGGAGCTTCATTTTAGAGGTTGGACATTAATTTCCACTTCACTTTTCCGTATTTGAAAAAGAAGGGTCGTAGTGTTCTCATTCTCAATGCCTCAACACAATTGCTCCCCATAGTTCAATGTAGTTTGAGCATTTAGCATCGTGATCAATATTTCTCAGGGACTTGATATAATTTCATTCAATAACTGAGACAAGCAATAGGTAAATAAATAAAGTAGTAAATACTTAGTTATGTGATTAGATGAGAGAGTTCAATGACCACGTCAGTGACACAGACTACGGAAACAAAGAACAAAAGGAAAGCTTCCCAGTAAAATCCAGGACAGCGGTGACCTATTTAGAGAAGAAAATATTAGAAGCTACGAAAGAGGAAGAGGGCCACATAGTCCTCCTTAACAGGAGCATGAATGAAAAACGAGGGCTCAAATCCTTAAATTATGATGTAGGTAAACCTTCTTCAAACTTGATTCCACTCAGACATTTCCTTACACATTTCTCAAATGAATCTAACCCACCATTAAAATGTTCTGCAGCTTTTGACTTTACCGAAACACTTGTAGTTATGGAATGCACATCATGATAACTCATGCAGGAAGGGTAGGCTGTATCTAAGTAAAGATCAAAGGTTCAACAGCCATAGTGTACCAAAACAAAAACCATAATATACTTGTCCCGTATAAACCTTTAATTCTAATGATTTCTCCTTCCCATTAAGAACAAGGTCAGAGAATCATATGCTAAATGCTATATTATTAAATTAATATGTGCCAAATCAAAGAAACAAGCGGGAAATCAAGATGAAATTACCAGCCGGTAATCCAGGAGGCAAAAGGTGCCCATCCCGGGCCAGCAAGTTTGGCACTCCAGTAGTATAACCCACCCGAAGTCGGGTAAGATGAGCAAATTTCAGCCATGGACAACCCAACTAACATGGTGAAAGCACTAGCTACAAACCAACCATACACGACAGACACAGGACCACCATAGTTCAGCCCATTGTTGTAGAGAGTTGTGATACCAGTGAGCACTGATATGATAGAAAACGAAAACGCAAAATTTGAAAGGACCCTGCAATTGCCAGACAGAAGAAAGAAGGAAAAGCAGAACGTAATCCATAACCATCCCATGAATCCAACCCTTGATCAAAAACTGAGTTGGAAGTCAACAACAGCACAGAGAGGAAATGAGAAAACTTTACGATAGATCACGCTTGAGCTCTTGTTTGTAGCCGAGCTCATGAAGACGGGCATGGCCAGAATCAAGTGAAGCACCACCATTTCCATCTCCATGAGATGGGAGTACCATCTTGACCTCGCCTTCTTAGAAGCGAGGAACCTGAGAAAGAGGCTAGTCTTTTGGCTTGTTCCAGCGTAGATGATGAAACTCTTCGATCAAAACGACTTGGGGAGAGAGAGGAGGGACCAACTTGTTAAGCTATGTTTTTAACCAGCCGAGGTCTCTATTTGTCAACAAAGATGGCATTTTTTTCCGTTTTTTTTCTCCAACCAGCCACAAAAAGGAATCCTTTGTTATTTTCCTACGCTTCTTTCATTGACCACTCTTCAGTATATATCTGAATCTTATATGGTCGAATTCACAACCCGCTCATTTGAAGGTTCCATGGTGTCATTAAACTAGTAGGCCTTTGGCAACACTATGAAAAGATTGACAAGCATATATTCCAAGTCATTCTTTATCAAGATTGCATCTTCTTTTTAATTTGATTAGGTGGAGGTAGCAATTGCAATTCTGCATGTGAACGTGTCTGTCTTACAACCGAAGTAACCAGTCAAATTTGAAATTTGTCTTTTTAAAAGAAAATACCAGTCACAGTTTAAAATACAGACTTTACATTAGGATTATGGTGCAACCAGCATCAATTATTTTCTGCGTGCATACAATGGTATATTTAGCGGACTGAAATATTTTTTTGTTTTTACCTTAGTGTTAAATGCACCAAAAAATATTTTAAAATATTGAATGCACCTCAAAAAATATTTTAAGACGCTGGAAGCGCCAAACAATAATTCACAGTACTAGATGCATTTGAAAAAATAAAGTGTGTAATACATCACAAAATACTTTAAAGTGTTGGATACATCTTGAAAAAAAAATAGTTTCAGGTGCACCTTAGTCCTATTAAAAACTTCAAAATTATTTTGGAATCCTCTAAAACTATACATTTAAGATGTTGTAAAAAGATGTTAATTCATAAATCATAGTTGTAAGTTATTTTTCTAAATTTAGATATTTTAAATGTTTTCAAAGAAACAATAAAAGCATAGAGATTGATGAGCAATCAACCACTACGATATTGTAGTGTTGTGATTGTTTCTATGTAGCTAGCTGGCTTTCTTGAGCAAAGAACCTCTCTGTGCCTCTTAATTAAATGTGAAACGGACGGCGTGGATCTTCACTGAATAAGATTTTTTTTAATCGAGCATGCGTTGACGATGACAATTAAAAATTCTAAAACAACATATTTGGAAATCTTTTCCTTCAAACCATGATGTGAACCAATATAATTTTTTAAGTGCGCATCAGTGAACATATAATGATTAATTCTCTATTCGTGGGCGCAAAAATGACTATTCTCTATTCTTTTACTGAAAATATCTTATGACTTAAACCCAGAAATATTATGCTAATATACATACCCGACTCATAATAGAATATTTTAAAAAAAGTGACGCAACAATAATTAAAACAAACAATGCAAAATCTTCCATGATAAATTGGATTTTTTTTGGGGCCAAAATATGATAAATTGGATTAAGAACTTACAAACTATGCTAAATCTGTTTGTCATCGTTAGTAGTGAAGGGAGGGGATTACTGGGGCCTGTATCCCCAAGGTTAATTTTGTATAAATAATGTATCCATTGTTATAGTTCCTAAAATTTAAATTAATTATAAGAATAATATCTTTATCAGTCCCTATTTAATCGAATTTTGATTCTAATCTTTATAATTTTAAATTGTTGGGTTTGGTGACTATAGTTGTATAATTTTTTAATTTGAGTTTAATGAGTGGTTTCTTTGTTTTTAATAAGTTTTGGTTTTGATTACTAGATTTAAATTAATATTAAACCCTTATGAAACAATAAAATCAAAACTAAAAATGAATTAAAGAGGTGCCTTCCCCGTCTTCAAACTCCTATTCATATTTTTCTCTAGAACAAGATTCATTTTAAATCATATTTAAGGGATTTCTTGATTCTGGCCCAAAAAGCAATGTCACTTGATCATTACCAAATTGATTACAATGTCTTTCTATCTGTGAGATCCCACCAAAGCGCTTTTTACTTCTAATAAGGTATAGAATCCAAATGATTTCAAAGTGCTTTTAGATTACTAAATATGTGGAGGATTATCTCGTTTTACGGAAAAGTGCTTCTAAGGTTATACCCAAATAAGCTATAAACTAGATCAATGATATTAATCCCTCATTCTGTGTATATACAAAAATTATGAGTGGGTCGGCCCCTTTATGGAATCGTTGGGGGGATTAGAAATATTCAAAAATACTTTTAAAAAGTATTTTCTCAAATCAAGGAAAACTCTTCTATATTTTTACTTCATATACCATAAAATCATTTTTAAAATCATAATTTGATTTCTACCCAAACACCTCCTTAGTCCAAGACTCCAAAGGGAAAAGACAGAAGTGCCCCTATCGTAATAAGCAAAAATTTACTCCTCTGGTCCTATTTATAACTAAGAAAAACCTCAAATTTTATTAACTTTTATTTAAAATTCAACAACTTTCTAATTTTATCCTTATTTAATATATTACACTTCTCATATAAATAAGATCAACACAATAATAAATGAAGTGTAAATTTATATACTTATACAAAAAATTTCTCTCTCTAGCCCATAAATAGAACTAAAAAATGTCTTTTTTCTCTATTCTATAAATAAGACCAAAAGACTATAAGCTTTGGTGCAATCCTACAACTTTAAATGGCCCACACCTAGTGTTTTTTTTTTGGAGAATTACAATGAGATTTTTTAAAAAAATTATCACTAAGTTTTAATGATAAGTAAATAATTGTTATCTGTTACTTCAAAATTTGGCATTGCAAACTATTATATTGTTATTGAAACTTTTTAGTAATTTTTTTTATTTCATAGCAATTCTCTCTATTTTCTTATGAGACTTATGCTTTTCTTTTTTCTCATATATTTCCTTCTAATTATCATGTTATAATAAAACTCTTCTTATATACTTATCTCATATTTATAAATTATAATTGAAAAACTATTTTGGAAGCTCCTCCTGGGATTCCAAACAAACCCTTACTTGACACTCCTCCTCATAAGAGAGGTTGAGGCCTTATAAATCTAATAATACTAAATATTATACTTGGTTATTAATATAAGAGCTAGTTGACTAATTTAAATAAATTAATAAAATAATTAGGTTAGTTACTTGTAATAAATATGTATTGTTTTTTCATAAAATATTCTTACAAATCAAATATATTGATTATAGTTATTATTTGATGAAATATTTAACATTTGCAACTACTTCAAGAATTATTTTAAAAAAATGAATAATTACAAGAGACAAAATATATTAAAATCTTATATTTAGAATCAAAATAAAAGTCAAACTAACTCTTAAGAATATTTTAAAAAAAGTGACGCAACAGTAATTAAAGCAAACAATGCAAAATCTTCTATGATAAATTGGATTTTTTTTTGGGGCCAAAATATGATAAATTGAATTAAGAACTTACAAACTATGCTAAATTTGTTTGTTACCGTTAGTAGGGAAGGGAGCGGATTACTGGGGCCTATATCCCCAAGATTAATTTTGTATAAATAATGTATCCATTGTTATAGTTCCTAAAATTTAAATTAATTATAAGAATAATATCATTATCAGTCCCTATTTAATCGAATTTTGACTCTAATCTTTATAATTTTAAATTGTTGGGTTTGGTGACTATAGTTTTATAATTTTATAATTTGAGTTTAATGAGTGGTTTCTTTATTTTTAATAAGTTTTGGTTTTGATTACTAGATTTAAATTAATACTAAACCCTTATGAACAATAAAATCAAAACTAAAATGAATTAAAGAGGTTCCTTCCCCTTCTTCAAACTCCTATTCATATTTTTCTCCAGAACAATATTCATTTTAGGAAAAAAAAACAGAAAATGCTACTTGAACTTCATAATCCCAAAATGGTTTGCTGAAGTTGAGAAATCTCAATTTGGTCTCAAAAGACCAAATTGGGATTATCATGTTAAAAGAAAAGACTAAATTGCTCTTCATTTTAAATATTGTTTTTAAAATATCACAGTCCCTACTGGCTGGCCGGTCGCCAAAGCTCCGCGGCGGTAGTCACCGAAGCTTCGTCAATAAAAAAAAAATTTGAAAATTTTTACAACTTTTAGTATAACAGTTAACAACTTTTGTAATGTTATTAACAATTTCAGTATAGTAATTAACAACAAGTTTTTTGGAAATTCAACAAGCTCCGTGACTGGAAACAATTTTTTTTAAAATTTTTACAACTTCAATATAATCGTTAATAACTCTTGTAACGCTATTAACAACTTCAGTATATCAGTTAACAATAGATTTTTCGAAAAATTTAACAATTAGTCGCCGAAGCTCTGATGGAGGAAAACAATTTTTTTTGAAATTTTTACAACTTTAATATAACGGTTAACAACTTTTGTAACCCTATTAACAACTTCAATATAGCGGTTAACAACAGGGTTTTGAGTTTGTTAACAGTATTACTGAAATTATAAAAATGCCACTTTTTGAATTTTTTAAAAAAACCTGTTGTTAACTACTATATCTAAGTTGTTAATAGAGTTATAAAAGTTGTTAGCTGTTATATTGAAGTTGTAAAAATTGTATAAAAAAAACATAATTGTTAAAGTTATAAAAAATACCATTTTTTGAATTTTTAAAAAAACTTGTTGTTAAATGCTATACCGAAATTGTTAATAGAGTTGTGAAACTTATTAACGACATTACTGAAGTTGTTAAATGGTACTTTTTGAATTTTTTAAAAAAAAACTTGTTGTTAACTGCTATGCTAAAGTTGTTAATAATATTACAAAAGTTATAACGATTATACTGAAGTTGTAAAAATTTTTAAAAAAAAGTAGTTGCTAAAGTGGTAAAAATGCCTTTTTTTTTTAATTTTTAAGAAAACGTGTTGTGAAATACTATACCGAAGTTGTTAATAGAGTTACAGAACTTGTTAACAACAATATTGAAGTTGTAAAATTACTACTTTTTGAATTTCTCGAAAAACTTGTTGTTAATAACATTACAAAAGTTGTTAACCGTTATATTAATATTGTAAAAATTTTCAAAAAAAATGTTTCCAGCCATTGGAGCTCCAGCGATCAATTGTTGAATTTCTCAAAAAACCTATAGTTAACTGCT